TCGTGAGTTCTTGACACCATCTTTTTTGTAAGAATTCTGCCACGTTCTTTGTTAATTGAGTATTGGTGAAAGAGGCATTTAAGACATAAGCCGATTTAGGCAGTACAAGTGAATGCACTTTATTCAAGCACTAAAGCAGCTGACCACCAAACATGGGTTGTAGTCTTTGTTATACAAAAAAAAACACAAAAAAACAACATACATATACACATACTGTCATACATATATTGTTTTTCAGACCCATATTCACCAACTATTTGAAAATTTGCATGTTTATACATATCGTCATTGATGTTTCAAGCCAACATAGTTCATGTCTTACATTGATATCAATTTCAAACGTTTTTTTCCAGTTTTCATCTTCCTCCGTTTTAAGTCGTACATATGTATACATTTTAGGAAAATCAGACATCTAGATGCGGTTTGTCACCAAAGCCTTTGGCAATACAATTATTTGAAGTTTTTTTTCTACGGATAAACCATTGCTTCTATCAACCGGATTTCATTATATTACACAGTATATTTATTTCATTATTAGAAAAGGAAGTTGACGTCCATATACATGTGTACGAGGGCTGTTCAAAAAGTTCGTGGATTGCGGCTCTACTGTTCACATCTTTTTATTTGCGTATATGATTTTACAAGAGACATATATGAAAACATGTCCTTAATAAACAGTGAAAAAATCAATACACTATGATTACAAATAACAATTCTGTGACAGTTACAAATCACAAAAGGTACACAATCCGGCGCACGCTATGATGAAACAAAATCATTCAGTTTGTTTCAACATTTGTTTATATTTAAACATTATATGAAAATTTCGGCGTGCGCCGATGTTGCGTTGCCATGGTTATTAAAGTGCACATAACTCGTAAAGGAAATAAAAGTTAACAATAAAAGTAAATCTTACTTTAAGAAATAAAGACATTCTTTCGATTCATATCCACTAAGGGTGTTTTTATGAAACAAGTAAAAAATGACAGCAAAAATCCACGAACTTTTTGAACATACCTCGTATTGTTTGTCGTTTAAGGTAGTATACACTAAACCTTGCAGGTACATCAAAAGGCATTCGAAACAATTTAAGCAGTATAAGGGATAACCTAAATTATTGTTTATTAAATATGACAACACGTTCAGCACTTTATTCAGAGACTTTTATTCAGGCACTGAAGCAAGTGACCTCCTTACATGGGTTATCGTCATGTGTGATTTACCCAAGCAAATTTATATTTATTGTATTTGACTGGATACATTTATACCTGCTATTAATGTAGTTGCATGTCATAAAAAATCTTCAGTAAATGTAGGTAGATAATAATTATTGTCGTCATTCATAAACCCTATCAGTTCCTAACTTATTATTTTACATTCATGTTTATTAACGCATTCAAACGAGATTCAAGCAGGTTTAAGCAGTGTAAGTTATAACCTCTAAATGCTGTACGTATATATCGCCTTCAGTCGGGCACCGAAGGAGGTGACCTCCAAAAGTGGGTTGTCGTTCAAATATATAATTGTTGTTGTATATGATTGGATCTTTACAAACGTGTCCTTTTAGTAATCTTATTTCATAAAGCACATATATACAAGAAGATTTTATATACAAAAACACAACCATACATCCATTTGCTTGTTGTCATTGTTTCCATATGACTTTCCCTAGTAATTTAAAAATCTGCAATGTCTACAATTGGACGTATTTAAATTCATTGAAAGTAAAAACGATACTCACACACACACACGCGCACACACACCAACACACGCACGCGCGCACGCACGCACACACACACACACATGTCGACATTGCTGATGAAAACCAACATAGTTCAAGTATTATATTGATTTAGATTTTAAACGGTATTTTCCAGTTTTCTTCTTCCGTCTTAAGAAGTACACATTAAGGGAAAATTGAGACATTAAAATGCCGACATAAACACTTGTCTATGGATAAACCATGGATTCAATCCACAAGTTTTCATTTATTCTCCCCCCCCCCTACCCCCATCTTATGCTTATTAACCGATTCAAACCACATTCAAGCCAATTTATGCAGTGTTAGTTGTAATAAACACTCCTTTTCCAAAGCAAGTACATGTAAATGTAAGTTATGTATTGCACTTCAGTCAGGCATCGAAGCAGTTGACCTCCAAAAGCGGGTTGTCCTTTTACCCAAATTGTTTTCACAACCTCATTTTATGAATTCAAAAGTTCGCTATTCATAAACTTGCCCTTGTTTGCATTATTATATAAAATGGCTAAACACGTAATAGAATAAATAAAGTGAATATACATGATCATAAGATTTCTCCACATCCAGATACTGGCTGTCAGAATTGCATTTAACAATGCACTTTTCTAGTGATACATCAATTAATTAGTTTACAGTCTGACCCTATAGCCTATACGCTGGAAGAGCCTAGATTGACCCATGCAGAGCCCCGGTCGATCCAGGCAGAGCCAAGGACGATCCAGGCAGAGCCCCCTAAGCTAGAATCCCAGTGGATTGAAAACGCGCGAGAACATGATTACATGATTACATTGATCAATACATAATTTTATTTAATATAAAGAACAGTAATGCATAATGATTTTCTGAAAAATCCTTACGCAAGACTGGATAGAATGGAAATGGGAAGGGTAAACAAACAAGTGCAATCATCGCAAATTGTCGTGGTTCTTTTGGAATCAAACCGGACTTTATCGGGGCTCTACCGGGATCAACCTTAGCTCCATCGTCATCCTCCGGGGCTCTGACTGCATTCTCCGAGGCTCTGCTGGCATTCTCCGGGGCTCTGCCAGCATTCACAAGGGCTCTGCCGTACGTAGCTCTACCGGCTATATCATACCCCGGATCATACCCGGTTTTTGCCGACAGAGCTATGGTGCTTCCCCGGTGTAACCCCGGTCGTTTCCGGCAGGGCAAATTAAGCTATACTCCCCGGGTTATCACGGACCACCCCGGTGATATTAAATATTTTTTTTATTTCCGGGGTCGAATGCCAGATGTACCAGGATCATCCGGGACGTTGCTGGCAGAGTTATGGATGTATTCCGGCCGTTCCCAGATCACCATGGACGTCTTCCGGGGCTTTGCCGGGATGTAAGTGAGACTGTAGCTTAAATTATGTACTGCACTTCAGTCAGGCATCAGGGCAGTTGACCTCCAAAAGCGGGTTGTCCTTTTACCCAAATTTACATGTTCTTAACGTAATCTTAGCTTATTAAGTACATGTTATACCAGAAGATTGTAAAGTAAATGTATATACATGTAGATTTTAAAATTTTTAACCCGCAGACCTTACATCCGTATATTGGTTGTTAACATAATTGTCAATATTTTCATAACCTCATTTATGAATCAAAAGTTCACTATTCCTAAACTTGCATTATTTGTAAAAAAGAAGGTTAATATAATGGATATACACGTAATAGAATAAATGTAGTTAATATACAAGTAAAGTACATGATTTTACATTCAGACATTAAACTTAATTGTCTACATCCAGATACTGGCTGTCAGAATTGCATTTAACAATGCACTTTTCTAGGGATACATCATTCAGTTTACAGTCTAACCCGGTAGGCTATACACTTTATATGATCGTATAAGGGTATAAAAAGATGAACCTCCATATATTGGTTGTCGTCATTGATATATAATTATACTCTATCAGATTATGGGCGAACTGTTTTTCATGTTTAATTATTACAGGTAACATGCGTTAGGGGTGTAATTGATTACCTACAATTACTTATTATTGGTGATACATTCGTAAGCATGTACATCTCAAGTTTAGATTGCACTTTATTTAGGTACTGTGGCAGGTGACCACCATACACGGGTTGTCGTCTTTATTTTACCCAAGACAAACTATTTATTGGTGTAATTGGTTGAACCCTTTTAAAAAATTGGGTTGCCTTCACCTCAAATGACGACAATTTATGTAAATTCACTTAATAATAGTCATAACATAATGTGTTTTGTAAGTGCATAAATATACAAAGCAACTAAAAGTATACAATTTCACAATTATTAGCGTTATAATATACAGTAGAGACACGCACATATAGTTTCGTGATGCTATAAGTTGCTTTGAAAACATAACTTCAATTCAACGTAGATCTAATATTGCGATATAATAAGTTTTCTTTATTAAAATAAAAACTGATGGAGAAATAAAAGTACATTTCGCATATTTACGTCCCTTTCCATTCACTATAGCAGCGTTCACTCAGACGCTCTTTAACATTCGCGCTAAAAAAAAACGCTTATAATAGTAAACTCCGCCTTACTCCAGGAAAGGGATGTCTTATAGCCTCCACCTACGAAATATGACAGATTTTCACCGGAGTATGTGGTGTTATTGCAGCTTTGTGAAAAATTATACACATATGAATGTATTGATACAGTATTATTTTGTGTCGCTAAAGTATTATTATATGAAAATATGCTGATATAACGCTTCAACGCTTAGTTAAAAAGTACCTAATTTAAAAAATATTCGCCTAATGTTTAGGCATACTCTCTACACTTCGCCGCCCTTTTACTTCAAGCACGAATTATTACCGCGATTCAGAATAAGATAATTATTTTTTACATGGTTTAATGATGGCATTGCAAAAAAACGTTTCTTTTGCTAAAAAACTTTTAAAGAAATTCATGTTTGAAATGTGTCTTTATTTCTGTGAATTATTTCCAAATGATTTGTACATTTTTTATTTGATTACCTGTATATTAGTATAAATATAGTAAATATTCTACTATTAAGTGTATTAAATATATTTTCAGATCATTCTAGACAAGCATAAATCCGTGTGTTAAATAAGCATTTTGATAGACGTCCACTGAAGTTACAGTGGTAGATTTCAATAACATATAGCTGCATTTTCAAAGTATTCACAAGCTATATCTTTTAAGTTAGTTATAAGGATTTTTGAAAGGTTATAATGCCACATTGTTTCATAAAAAAAGATACCTAAATCATTAATCCTCACAGTGTGCAGATATTACAGTTGCACAATGGCAGACGTGCTTGAATTTTGTGTGAAATGGAGTGGCAAAGAATATATGATTACTGCATTGACAGCGCAACAAACAGTCTCAGATATGAAGATAATGATACACAAGGAAACAGGGGTACTTCCAGAACGTCAGAAACTCCTCGGGTTGAAGTTTAAAGGTAAATATATGCGTTGAAATTTTGCTATTATGAAACTGTAGTGCACCAACATCCGGATAATTTCATTTTCGGATATTGGATATCCACAAACTGAAATTTATGAGTCACTCTATTCAACTCATGTTACTTGAAAGAGATTGATCGTATTAGAAAACTAAATGTACTGTAGTTCAGTGTGTTCTGACTGAAAAAAATTCATGTTTGTTTCTAGTTTTTGGCATCCAAAACTTTATAAGCCGCTATTTAACATTTTTGTTTTTCATCTGATGCGGCATTAAAGTTTTGAATTAGACCCGTTACGAAACTAACCAGACTAACATAAGTTGATTTAACCTTATTTTTCACTTGCAAATACCCTTGACCCAATCAATTCTTGTGCATTTTACGATAAAACAATTATTTTAATATCGTTCTATACCTGAATTAAAGTATCAAAATATTAATACTGTCATTAAAATTGCCTATTTAACTGTAAAACATCAATTACGCCGGCTACAGTCAGCCATGACATTTAGGTGCCACTCGAGATCTCGTATTATGTCATTCGCGGGAACCAATTAGAATAGTCGTGTACTATATTTAGAACATCTTTGTTGACATAATTTCGATATTTTTACTCAAGATAATGTTTTTATTTATTTTGATTAATTTTTTAGTACTTGAATAAGATTTTATTGAATACAAGTCAGTAAATCACATTTTTCAATATCTTTAAAAAAAGTAATTTATAAAGATATTGGAAGCACATGGGTTCGATAAGGTCAATCTCGTAATCACATGGTCAAACATTTTGGCAATATTATATGGCTGCCAAGTGCCGAAATTTTTACCTGTCGGAAACTACTAGGTAGTTTATGTTTGTAATAAGATTTTAATTTGTCCATCCTTGGCTTATCAACAGATTATATATAGTTTTATCAAGGTATGCTTTACTTTACTTCATGGCATGTTCGATGAATGAATACAAGCGTGTCAGATTCCTGGCACAATTATTGGTGGACTTTCCCTACGGGGTTGTCTTCATCTTTCACGTCATGTCATAGTATATAAACGGGTACGCTGAAGACCTTAAGCTAGTTTGTTTCAATTCCAATATATTAGGGCTGTCATTGAATATCACAATATTGATACAATATCATTGATATTCATCATCCGATACATCATCGATGAACACTTTCAGATATTGATACAAGCTAAAATTTATTTCTGTTAGTGAATATACCTCTCTATTTTGCCTATGAAGAGTCACTTTTTTCCAGTTTTCTTGGCTAACCTGAATTCAAATGTTAGTGACAGAAATAACAAAAAAAACTCTGTTAGTTTGTAAGGGTGTAACGGTTTACCGGTATACCGATATATTGCAATATGAAAAAATAAATTTCGTACCACGGTACGATTTTTGGAAAACCGGTATTTTATAAAAAATCATAATTTTCAATAAATTTCAATGTATTTTGTACAAATTTCACATAAAATCTTTAATTGGCGAATTTTGTTGGCGCCAACGTAAGATAAAAGTATCCGACAACTAGTACACTTAAAAGTCAATAAGCGGCCGCATATTTTACATAAGCGGCCCAGATGTGACTAGGTTTGTTTATCAAATTGTGTGACACTTTACTTTCTTTTTATTCCTTACATTTTTATTAAGTTTCTACTAAAAATATATACATATAATAATTATATATAAATGTTACTCCATCTTTACATCAAAACATATACACGACAATACGTATTGCAATATATTGCAATACGCGTCAGCAAAATGGCAATATATTGCAATACGGTTTTTGCTGTATTGTTACACCCCTATTAGTTTGTAGTATTTACAATGTCTAATACAAGCATGCATAACACCATGATCCGAATTTATAACACATATTTAAATGTTTTTCATTGTATTTACTGTCAAAGTCAATATATCATTAATAATATGTCTCTCGATATATCAATACAAAATTTTCCATCAATGACAGCCCTACAATATATCAGACGTTACAGACTTGTCTTAGTTTATGATGGTGAAGCCTGATGTCTTATATAAAGTTATTGCTCACAAATTAAAAAATGTCTATTGTCTTGCCTTTCAAGCTTCAATCAAAAATTTTATAAAATTTTCTTTCAATTTCATGCTCAATCATTAACAAAAACTCTGAAACAATATAATAATCAATTTAAGATAAAATACGAAGAAAAATCTATTTTTGCCTATCCGCCATACAGGCTAAGTAAAGCGCTTTACAGATTGATTCCAAATTTTTGAAAAATACAGAATAATGAACTTGGAAAAGCAATGTTCTGCCTCTGGCTTCCATACTGTAGGCATATATGCAGCTTTTAAAAATTTGTTTTTACCTGTTGCAGTATTTAAGTTGTAGATCAGACCTGTTATGAATCTTATAAACCAAAATAACACATGACATTCGTTTGATATCTTTACAATTATCTCTGGTATGTCTGCCTTTTTAAAGTTGAAGATAATACCCTAACAAATTAGCTCCAATACAAATGTATGCCAATGACAATATGATACATGTAGTTAATTTTTGTATCTGGGTGTATTTCCTTATATCTGAGAATACTTTTTATCTACAGAGTTTTGCTTTATTAATAGGGAAAGTAGCTGATGACTCAGTTGTCCTTGGCGATCTTAAACTTAAACCAGGAACCAAAATCATGATGATGGGTACTCGAGAAGAGGAAATAGTAAGTTGTTACAAAAGTTTTGTTTTTCTTTAAGAGTCTTATTGAGATGCATTTATTTTTCCATCTCACAGCTGTCAATTTTCTGGAAATATATTAATATAAAACTAAAATGTACTAGTAAATACTTCAGCTGAGTTTTCCAAAAATTTGTGTATACATATGACAAGTACATTTCTGAATGATATAGGAGTTTTTAATTAGATAAAGATATGTTCAACAATTTTACATTTTTCTTATCATCTTTGATTGATTTGTTTGTCCCTATGAAATTGTTATTGAATTATTGAAGTAAGGTAAACAAGCACACATGGAGTTACACTCTTTATCAGGAATCATGATGGAATAAATTAATCATGTAAATGTATTTGAGCCACGTCAAGACAAAACCAACATAGTGCGTTTGCGACCAGCATGGATCCAGACCAGCCTGCGCATCCGCGCAGTCTGATCAGGATCAATGCTGTTCGCTTATCTGACTGCACGGATGCGCAGTCTGGTCTGGATCCATGCTGATCGCAAATGCACTATGTTGGTTTTGTAGTGACGCGGCTCAAATGTTTTTTTATCATTTTACAGACTAAGATTGTTGAGCCTCCACCAGACTTACCCGAGGTTGTAAATGATTTTGATATTGAAGAAGATGAAATTGCTATAGAAAATAGGTAATCTTTTATGTTTATATAAACATATAATGTTTTGCATTGATTTTTATAGTCTATTGTAAATGGGAATTGCGTCCTTTGCCTTGTGAAACTTTTAAAATTCTGACATTGCCAAATTTTAAAAAATATAATGTGACAGAAATAAAAAAAGATTCGAACCAAAACATTTTTTTAGTCATGAAAGTGTTAAAAGATACTTGTTGATTTTGTAAATGGGGCCAATTTTGAAACCAAAATGGCCTGATGAAAGTTAAATCATTGTTTTGGGTCAGATTTTCATTTTGTTTGGTTCTGTATTATATTTAAATTATTCTACATTAATCAATGAAAGGAAGAAGGTTTTAGACAGCATGTTTGCATCATTTAGACTGCTTACTACAGGTTTACTCTGGTTAAAAGCAAACTTGAAACTTAGCTTCCAAACATGAATTAAAATTCAGTCATTTCATTTCTTGCAGTACTGTGGCCTATACACTTAAAAGTTAAAACATAAGTATTGTAAAATAAAAACAGCAATTAAATGTTGTTGTATTTCAGAGAGGAATTCTTACAGAAGATAGAAAAAAGAGTAAAAGACTATAAAATAGACATTATTACTGAACCAAGAGATGGAAAGAAACTTCTTGTTCTTGATATAGACTACACATTATTTGGTCAGTATTATTTTGTATTTTTTATCAGAAAATATACTTATTAAGCTCTGTTTTGACATTGAAATTCATTTAAACTTTAATCCATGTGAAAACTACAAGGTCAACCTTGAATAAAGAGCTGTCTGTAGAAATAAAGTCATGTCACAGGTCGAGGAACATGTGCAACCTGACTGGGACTCGAACCTGAAATACCGTTCCGCGGCTCTGCAGACTAAGCTATCCGGCCGTGTACATATCTCCGCTATATAGTGAACAGTTCTTAACCTTGACATACTCTCCCACAATATTGAAATTATCCTTGAAGTTCTCAGGGTTACAGAGCAATGTGAATTAAATTCTTAAATATATTTGGTCACGGTTAATTGTTGGGCGCCAAATGTCACAGGGTGAAGAAAATGTGCAGCCTGACAGGGACTCAAACCTGTGTTGACAGGTGTTATGTTAAACAAGTGATTTTTCAATTCGATATTCCCAAAATAAAAAGACAAAATGCGAGCCTTTTGGCCGTCATTAAAATTCATTACCGTAAATAAAAGTGTTTTCTTTTTCTGTGAGATATATTCACTGTAACACAGTTTACCTGAATTGAGAACACATGTAATACAGTCCTAGTGATAAAACACAATACTGTCTGAACAGAACTTATGCTAGCAGTTAAAAACACTTCTACTCCAGTTGCCCTTGAGATAAAGTGTGTGAACTTGATGAAATATTATTTTAGTTACTGAAAAATAACTGGTATTTTGTTTGCATTTGGGCAGGAGACTTTTCATAATAGGATGAAATTTATTTTAGGGTTGGACCTTAGAAACAGCAAAGCCTTGGTGAAATATACAATTAGAGTAAAATCTCCACTTTTTCACATTGTGAGTAAAGCTATATCCTAGGCCATATTTAGTCTGAATTAAAACCCTTTTCAGTGAAGATGTTGAAATCTAACACGATATTAGAGGACCAGTAATAAGGAATATAGAAATTTCATTCAAATGGACCTGTGCAGTCAACAATTGTTAACTTTAAACTTTAATAAAATTGTTTTCATATTTGCTTGTATAACATTTTATTTTCTAGATCACAGATCTGTGGCAGAGACTGCTAACGAGTTGATTCGACCATTCCTGCATGAGTTTCTCACATCGGCATATGATGACTATGATATCGTTATTTGGTGTAAGTTTTTATTGGCCGGGTTGCACAGGTGCAAACATGGGTTATAGTATGGTGAATGTTGGTCAGCTGACAAGCGGGGAAAACTTTTTCGTCACATTTCTCAGAGCAACTATTTATCACACCCTCTTGAAATTTGGTATACAGCATTAACAAGTGGTTCCATATAGTCAGATTCAGTGTCAGGTCTCATCCACTTCCTGTTAACCGACTTAAATTTCGACATGAATGGTCAACTGCAGGAAATTTTCATAACAGTTTTCTCAGCAACTACTTATCACAGCCTCTTGATATTAAGCATACAGCATTAACATGTGGTCCCACACTGTGGGAAAAGATTTCAGCTCTGTCGCTTATCCACTGCCTGTTTACCAACTTAAATTAAATTTTCAACATTAATGGTCAATGGTAGGCAATTTTCGTAACATTTTTCTCAGCAACTACTCATCAGAGCCTCTTAATATTTGTTATACAGCATAAACACATGGTCCCATACTGCATACATGTGAACTCTCCCACTTTTAGGTGGAGACTCCCACTTTCTGCAGCCAAATGTTCAGAGATTTTTCTTAAAATAAGGGGTATTTTCACAAATAAAAGAAATCTCCCTATTTTTGATGTCAGAACTTCCTTCTTTGTTTATTGCAAATTCTAAAATCTCCCTCTTTTTGAAGAAAAATCTCCCACTTGATCATCAAAAAAAAGTTCACATGTATGATACTGTGGGATTCAATTTCAAGTCTGTCGCTCATCCATTTCCTGTTTACAGACTTACCTAAATTTAATGGTAAGTAGTAGAAATTTTTTAGCTCACCTGTCACAAAGTGACAGTGTGAGCTTTTGTGATCGCTTTTCGTCCGTCGTCCGTAAACTTTTACTTTAAATGACATCTCCTCATAAACCACTAAGCCAATTTCATCCAAACTTCACAGGAATGTTCCTTTGGTGGTCACCTTTGAAAATTGTTCAAAGAATTTAATTCCATGCATAACTCTGGTTGCCATGGCAACCAAAAGAAAAAACTTAAAATATCTTCTTCTAAAAAACCCAAAGAGCTAGAGCTTAGATTTTTGGCATGAAACATCTTCTGGTGAGTGTCTACCAAGTTTGTTCAAATAAAAGCCCTTGGGTCAAAATTGGCCCCGCCCCAGGGGGTCATTGATTTTCTCTATATGCATATAGTAAAAACTTAAAAAATCTTCTTTTAAAGATCCCAAAGAGCTAGAGCTAAGATATTTAGCATGACACATCTTCTAATGGGTGTCTACCAAGTTTGTTGAAATAAAAGCCCTGGGTTCAAAATTGGCCCGCCCCAGGGGGTCATTGATTTTCCCTATTTGCATATAGTAAAAACTTAAAAAATCTTTGTTTAAAGAACCAAAAGAGCTAGAGCTAAGATATTTAGCATGAAACATCATCTAATGGATGTCTACCAAGTTTGTTCAAATAAAAGCCCTGGGGTCAAAATTGGCCTGGCCCCAGGGGGTCATTGATTTTCCCTATATGCATATAGTAAAAACTTAAAAAATCTTCTTTTAAAGAACCCAAAGAGCTAGAGCTAAGATATTTAGCATGAAACATCTTCTAATGGGTGTCTACCAAGTTTGTTCAAATAAAAGCCCTGGGGTCAAAATTGGCCCGGCCCCAGGGGGTCATTGATTTTCCCTATATGCATATAGTAAAAACTTAAAAAATCTTCTTTTAAAGAACCCAAAGAGCTAGAGCTAAGATATTTAGCATGAAACATCTTCTAATGGGTGTCTACCAAGTTTGTTCAAATAAAAGCCCTGGGGTCAAAATTGGCCCGGCCCCAGGGGGTCATTGATTTTCCCTATATGCATATAGTAAAAACTTAAAAAATCTTCTTTTAAAGAACCAAAAGAGCTAGAGCTAAGATATTTAGCATGAAACATCTTCTAATGGATGTCTACCAAGTTTGTTCAAATAAAAGCCCTGTGGTCAAAGTTGGCCCCACCCCAGGGGGTCATTGATTTTACATATATACATATAGTAAAAACTTTAAAAATCTTCTTTTAAATAACCCAAAGAGCTAGAGTTTAGATATTAAGCATGAAACATCTTCTAATGGGTGTCTACCAAGTTTGTTCAAATAAAAGCCCTGGGGTCAAAATTTGCCCCGCCCCGGAGGTCATTCATTTTCCCTATATGTGTAAAACTATAGCAAAAATTGAAAAATCTTCTTTAAAAAAACTCAAATAGCTAGAGTTTAGATATTAAGCACGAAGCATCTTCTAGTGAGTGTCTTCAAAGTTTGTTCAAATAAAAGCCCTGGGGTCAAAATTGGCCCCGCACTGGGGGACATTGATTTTCCTGATACGAGTATAGCAAAAACTTAAAAATCTTCTTTGAAAAAACCCGAGTAGCTAGAGTTTAGATATTAAGCATGAAACATTTTCTAGTAAGTGTCTACAAAGATTGTTCAAATAAAAGCCCTGGCGTCAAAACTGGCCCTGCCCCAGGTGTGTCATTGTTTTTAACTATACAGTCCGACCCCGGTTATTCGACAACCCTTTATTCGAATACCCGGCATTATCCGAAGTAGATCCCCGGTCCCGTTTTTATCTCTATATAAAACAATATAAATACGAGCGTATTATTCGAAATGCATTATCCGAATACCTCCTATTTTTCGAAGTAAAATTTCGGTTCCGATTATACAATTACGAAAGAATTTCACACCTATTATTCGAAGCCAGCCTAATTATTATTCGAAGCCAGACTAATTGACGCAGATCCACTCTCTGACCAGTCGACTTGCGTGTAATTAGACAATCATGATAATAACTCTTCGTGTGTTCTTTAATCAACTTTAATTAACGAAAATGAAAAGCTATGCACCGTGTCCGATTTTGTTTAAGATGACAGCAATAAGTTTTATACATTCCGTATATGTGAATTTGTCAAAACATCCAAAACATATTTTTCATTAATTGTTACGCTACATGAGAGCCTTAATCTATCCTAATCGAAAATACCAGAGTTTAGCTGTAAATACCGTAGTGACGACACGACCATTATCAAGGCTTTGCGCGAAACGAAATGATACATAATGTAGAATAAAATGCAAGTATTTATGTCTTCAATGTCAATACAATAATTTTTACGCATCTTTTCTTTACTATCTATTTTTCTCAATTGATTACAGGAAGCAAGTGTGTTGTAAACGGTAGTTTTGCAGTGATTGGTCAAAGTGGAGTAGTTTTCGTCTATCACAATATTCCGATTTCGATTATTCGAACCCATCGATTATTCGAAGTAAATATTCAGTCCCAGGCACTTCGAATAAACGGGGTTAGACTGTATGTGTAAAGAAAAAACTTTAAAAAATCTTCTTATAAAAATCCCAACGAGCTAGACCTTAGATGTTTAGCATGAAACATCTTTTAATGGTTGTCCACCAAGTTTGTTCAAATAAAAGCCCCGGGCTTTAAACTGGCCCCGCTCCGGGGGCCTATGTACAGGTGAGCGACTTCAGGGCCATCATGGCCCTCTTGTTTAACTTCACAGCCTCATGATATTTGGTATACAAATGCAACCTGACCTTTTCTGTCTTTGACAGATTTTTATTTTCATATTTTCAATTCTATTAATTAAGATAAAGTATAGATATATTATGAACCAGCATCTCAGAAAATGTTGGGTTTGATTTTTTCAAATGATCAGTTAAAACAGTATTTGGGGATTTTTTTGTGACTGGGCTGTGTCCGTGGCCCGCTATGCATTGTCAACTTTTGTTTCAAAAACATCTCCTAAACCATTTGGCCAATGTTGCTTAAACTAAGCAGGATTGTTTCTAGCATGTAGTTTTTAAAATTGTGCAAATAATTCCATTCTTGCAAAACTCTGGTTTCCATGGCAAACAGGAAGGAAAAAAAAACAAATCTTCTTCAATGCTATAAAATATATTTGATATGTTGCTTTGTCTAGTTTGGATTTTACCAAAGTTTGTTCAAACTATAGACCTAGGGTCAAAATTGGCCTTGCTCCAGGGGTTTGCCGTATATATACTTAAAATAAGAAATCTCAAAATCAGTAAGAGCTACAGCATAGATATTTGGCATGAAATGTTGTCTAGTGGTTCCCTACCAAGGTTGTTCAATTTATAGCCGAAGTGTCAAAATTGGCCATGCTCTGGGGGTCATGGGGTTTTTCTTATATATATATGGTTAATACTTAAGAACTCTTCAGAAACTTCACATGCAAAAGCTTTAAAAAAAATGCCAGGTTAACAAAATGTCTGCAGCAAGGTAAACTGTGGCTAATAAACATGAAGAAACCCATGAAATTCTGGTTAGAACAATGCAAATTAATATGTCTTCATAAAATATTGAATTTTTGTTTCTTATATGTCAAGGGAAGAATAATCTTGTAGTGAAATGTATTCTATTTTCAGCTGCTACAGGTATGAAATGGATTGAAGTAAAGATGAAAGAGCTAGGGGTGACTTCACATACAGAATATAAAATCTGTTTCATGATTGACAGTGGGGCTATGATAAGTGTTCATTCACCAAAATATGGAGTTATTGATGTAGGTCGTGTTAATTTTGTAGATACATTTATAATACTGCATATTGTAACCTTGCTTTTCATTGGATAATCGTTATGTTTATATAAATTATATACACATTTACTGCCAATTTTTAGATTTATTTTTTCTCTAATAAGAAAGTTTCTGTATTATAACTGACAGGTTATATGGCCCTATATAACAGTTATTTGCGAAATAAGCCTCATCTAGCAGCTTAGTCAACCATTAATATAGAGCCATATAATCTGTCAGAAATCTTTATAACTAATACATATATATATATAAATGAAAAAAGAGAATACTAGATGAATCATGCTTTTCAAGCATACTTAATTAACCTTTAAAAATAACCTGCTTAACTTAACTGTAACAGATTTTCCCAGCTTTGAATTTGGAGCAAGTTCAGTGGTTCCAGGAACTGATTTTGAAGTGTGTTTAAAAGCTTATTGATTTCAACACAAACTATATATAACTTTTATATTTTCTCAAAGCATATTTATATTGTTTTCAGGTAAAGCCTCTAGGTGTTATATGGGGAAAATATCCACAATGGGGTCCACACAATACTATCATGTTTGATGACATCAGAAGAAATTTCATCATGAATCCACAAACTGGTTTGAAGGTGACCATGATATATATAGAGAATATTGAATGTGTGCAAGTTCAATACAGGATTTATTGAACTAAATGTAGTTGAATAAAATTATATTATGCGAGCCTCTGACGAGCATATTATTTTATTCAAAGAGATCAATAAATTCAGTAATGAACCTACACTAATATATTATGACGGATATGACTGCTGTCCCAATTGGTCATGGACAACAGCATTTAAATACAAAATACTCAACAGACTTCTGGAGAAAAAAAATTCCCTGGTGTTTAACAGCATGACATCATTTAATTTTATTAGACAAAACAAATTATAAGACTACCTGGTGACGTAATGTGGCTTACACTCTTTAAAAACGTTATCTGACATAAGTTAATTTTTCTCCTTTTCAAAGTATCATCCCTGTAAATAATACTCCTTTTAATGTCAAGCCAGCTTCTTGGAATAGACATACACATTTTGTCTTCTTACACGAACCATACACATATTGTCTTTTGAAATACTCAGCACACTCAATTTTTAACAATCTAAAATTAACATGTCTTCACACTATGTTTGTATAAAGCAAATGATGTCACATTAAAATATATGCCATCCATGCATTACAACTTTTACAGAATCGCAAAATCGGCAAGGATATGTCCTTAGTTTCTGCATGGAAAAAAGTTTAATAAAGAAATTAATTTAATTTTGAAATATTCCTTCTCTTTAATATAGTTTCTAAAAAAGAAAGTAAGAATATATTTGTAAAAAATATACATGTATGATGTATATAAATATTTTTTTTTCCAGATTCGTCCATTTAGACAAGCTCATTTTAACAGAGAGAAAGATAGAGAATTGTTAAAACTGGCAAAATACCTGAAAGATATAGCTGCCTTAGATAATTTTACAGTGCTCAATCATAGAAAATGGGAAAAGTGAGTTACTGAATACATGTATTATTCACATGTGATTAACACTCTTTCTTAGATTAAATGCTATGCTTTTAATGAAAAACTTTACCCGACCGCTATGCTATTAATAAAAAACTACACCTGACTGTCAAATTTCATGCGAAGAAAAGTAAGGCTTTCCTATATTGTTTGGTGTAATGTAAGTATGATAGTATAGCAGTCACGAAGTTGCAATTTGAAATCGTCGACAAAACTTTCTTTTTCAGATTTCTTTGATTATGCCTGCGATGCGGTGGCATATAGCGATTCACCTGTGTGTGTGTTTGTTTGTTTGTTTGTTAGTTTGTGTGTGTGTTATATAGATTATATAGTGAACTTAAAAAATCTTCTTGTGAAAAACCACTAGTCCAATTTCAACCAAACTTGGCAGGATTGATCCTTGGGTGGAGGGCTTCCAAAGTTGTTCAAAGAATTTAATTCCATGCAGAAATCTGGTTGCCATGGCAACCAAAAGGAATTATAAGAATAAATTAAAAAAATCTTCTTGTTAACACCCAAAAGGCCTAGAGCTTAGATATTTTGCATAAGACATTGTCTGGTAGCCTCTACCAAGATTGTTCAAATTATAGCCCTGGGGTCAAAATCGGCCCTGCCCCGGGAGTCATTGATTTACACTATATGTACACAAAGTAAAAACTTAAAATACCTTCTTGTAAAGACCCATAGGCCTAGAGCTTAGATATTTTGCATAAGGCATTGTCTGGTAGACCCTTACCAAGATTGTTCAAATTATAGCCCTGGGGTCAAAATCAGCCCCGCCTCAGGGGTCATTGATTTTCACTATATGTACATATAGTAAAAACTTAAAATACCTTTTTGTAAAGACCCAAAGGCCTAGAGCTTAGATATTTTGAATAAGGCATTGTCTGCTAGACCTCTACCCAGATTGTTCAAATTATAGCCCTGGGGTCAAAATCGGCCCCGCCCCGGAGGTCATTGATTTTCCTCATATTTACATAGTAAAAACTTATAGTAAAAACTTTAAAAAAATTTCTTCTAGCAATTGACAAATGCTAGAGGTTAGATATTTTGCATGAAACATTGTGAAGTGAACCTCTAGCAAGATTGTTCAAATAATAGCCCTGGGATCAAAATTGCCCCCACCCCGGGGTCATTGATTTTCAATATATACATATAGTAAAAAATTTAAAAAATCTAATTGTCTGAAGGTACAAGGCTTAGAGCTTTAATATTTGTAAAATTATATCATCTATAGGTACTCTACCAAAGTTGTTCAAATTTTGCCTATAGTGTCAAAATTAAAAGTGAACTTTGATATCAGCTGACCTAGATTTTGACAAAGTGTATTACATGTTGTCCTTTGATGCAGTCATGAAATTTAGGCGACTCAAGTGCATTGATATATTCCTACTCTGATCTTTTATTGGATTAACAAAAGATTTAACCACTAATCTGATAATAAGAATTAGATAGGTCAGGGATCTATGCATTATGACAATCTTCAGTTGTATAGAAACAAAAAAAATCTGTTCCTACACTACTATTTAGTGTTGTATTAATGCAGTGGCATAGCATTTTTCTCAAATGCAATCTTGTTTTTTATTGATATGCAGCAATAATGGATGAATCATTTCTTCAATTTCTTGTGTCTTTTCCTTAAAAAAATAGTTAACTTTATATTATACATAAACCATGTTTACCGTTATGCCATACTTTAAAATTGGTATGATATACTTTGGAATCCAACAATTACCAACAAAAGGTCATTGTGAAATGATCATTGTCAAATTATTCAAATGTCTCAGGTCATTATTGCCAAACGATTCACCAAAGCAATCAACATGTCACTTCGTGAAAGTTTTAAAAAAAGGTGCAAGTTCATATCTCATAAAATGGTCAGTAAAATGGTCAGTAGCAGGAGGGGAGACAAACAATATTTTATTTTAAGCTGAAGGTATTCATTTGAAACAATGTTTTGTTTAAATGGCTATTAACTCTTTATCATGGAATAACACTTAACAAATAAAAATGGAAAATTCCTGGTCAATTACGCTTTTGTATGCAAGATTCATCTCTCCTACCACTGTAATTATTTACTATAAGTTTAGTTTTATCTGATATTTGCTGTTGTTTACATGAAATATTTGTATCGGGATAAAAAGTGTATGCAAAAATCATCTTCTTTACAGATATAGACCAAAGAGAAAGCATGCAGACTCGAATATATCAGAGGGCGAGGTCTCTTCAAAAGGTGTGGACAAAGGTTCTGGTGACCCATCAAAAAGTTGATGCTACAAAAAAGACAAGCTAGGGCCAGTCACTGTCGAGTTGTTCATGTAATTTTCTGCCATTCATGAATTTAGAGGAAGCTTTTTCTGCTGCTTCAAGTGAATGGAGAAAAGTTGACAACTTGTGGCGTGTACATGTGAAGCGATGTGAAATGTAACACGTTTTCACTCTGGATTTAAATAAGATTTAGTGGTGTGCCACCAAATCCTGTGTTTGAATCAATATTTCCCATGGAAATATTTAGCTGAAGATATCATAATGACCACTTCATCATTGATTTTGGTTCATTATGAAACATGCAGAAATATACAGGGAAATGAAGTGTGCCAGTGAAAACCCAAATGGACATGACAATTTTGAATGCATGTTTTTGCTTTAAAGGAACTCAGCTGAGGTACATAAAAATTGAATTTCTTACACAGATGAGCTGGGACTCTTAAAGGAGAAAGATAAAAAAAACATAGATAAGAATGATGTTCAGAAATTAATTGAAAATCATAGTTTTGTGTTATTCTGAGTCCGTTTTGAGGGAAAAGCGTTGCAACACTTTTCAGTTTTGGGTCATTTTTTTCACAATTAGAATAATCACTCTGTGCAAATGATCTGAAATTTTGAACACAAGAACATTTATTCCGAAAAAATATTTCTAGTCCTGTCCTTTCATATCCTGCAAAAACCTCAGTGGAGTCCCTTTAATTTGTTGTAAAACCAGTAGTCATAGAACCTTTATTTTATTTCACCAAAGTGAAATGGTACAAAACCAAGACCCCTAATCTCAGAATCTCTAACTTTATCTGTTATATGAATATCTAACTTTATCTGTTATATGTGTTTCCTTTTTTAGTGAAATATCATTTATTAAAGAAAATTAATGTGAATATCCCTGTAGTAGTGTAAGCTATGTTTTTGAGAAGTTGTATTAAAAAATTGTGTATAAAGTTAGGAATTTAGCGCAAACAAAACTTCATCATCATGTTACCTTGTCTCAGATTGAATGTTGTCAATTAAGTGATATTGTTTGTTTATTTATGATAATATTATACAATGTACTATTATTGCATGATGATGAGGTTAATATCCAAGTCTATTGACCTGATTATTGTGATAGTCACCAAGGCTGAAGACGGAGGTGAGTATCCCATTAGCCAGGTCGGTAGACTTGGATATTGACTGAAATCATCATAAATGACTGTTTTATTATTTGACCAGAATAAAATTATTCATTTTGTAAATTTTCAAAGTTGTCTCATTCCTTTTTTCATGCAAACAAACCTTAAGAATAGGACAGAAGGTGCAGATGTTGTGTTTTGGTTTTCAGCAGTTGATCCATTCATAAAATGTGTCAATGTTTACAAGGATTATTACAATTGTTTATTGTTAACCAGCTATTCTGTTTTTAAGCAATAGAAGACTTGGGTCAGCTAGCATTTCCTTTGAAAATCAGGATTTCTTTTTGTGCTACCGCAACAGTATCTGTGATGCAGATGCATATAGCGTTTCACCTCTGTGTATGTTATATAGATTATAAAGTGAACTTAAAAAATCTCTTGTGAAAAACCACTAGTCCAATTTCAACCAAACTTGGCAGGATTGTTAGGCTTCCAAAGTTGTTCAAAGAATTTGATTCCATGCAGAAATCTGGTTGCCATGACAGCAAAAAAGAATTGTAAGAATGAATTTAAAAAATATTCTTGTAAAGACACACAATGCTCAGAGCATAGATATTTTGCATTAGACATTGTGTAGTAGACCTCTACCAAGAGTGTTCAAATTATAGCCCTGGGGTCAAAATTGGCCCGCCCTAGGGGTCATTGATTTTCACTATATACATGTATAGTAAAATCTTAAAAATCTTGTATGGAGGTACAAGACTTAGAGCTTTGATATTTGGTATATGATATCATCTATAGGTCCTCCACCAAAGTTGTTAAAATTTTCCCCTAGTGTCAAAATTGGTCCTGCCCTTGCGGTCATAGGTTTCTTTAAACAGTCTAACTCGCCCATGCGACCTTGTGTATTTAGCGACTTGTCTTATGCGACCACTTTAAATTCCCCCTGATCATTTTCTCTATCTCTTTAATGTATTAAGCGATTTTTATTTGTTTGGGTCGTCAGACCAAACAAATAATGGTAGCGAAATTTCAGACTCTAATGCTGTTAATTGCAAATGCTGAAAGTAGTCCGCTTTTTTGAAGCGGTTACTTCCCTTTATATGTAACACTAACGCCGAAAATTCAGGGGAGATCACTGCGTAAATATGGTCACATGACAGGCGCATTAATTTTTAAGCAAATAATTCCCGAATGGTCGGAGATTTCTAATATTGTTTTATTCTTTAGAGATATACATGCTTATAGTAAGCGCCATGATTATTTACACACAAGTGTTAAACAACAGTAAGCGTCGTTACAAACTCTAATTTAGAATGATATGGTTTTCTTCAGGCCGTTCACATATAAATTCGCCGTGGCCGAGGGGTTTGCGCGCTCGCTTAGGAAGCGAGTGGTCTGGAGTTCAAAGCCTGGTTAAGGCAACTCTTTTTTTTCAAATTGTTTAAGTCAAATAAACATTGGATTGAATATCAGTGTTCCAATTAGTCTTATAGCCAATCTACAATTAAAACGCTGGAAAGCATTGGTGGCACTATACAAAAACAAATTGTTTTATAATCTCCTTTCTGACATTCTGAGACCCAAACAAATTCAGCGCCTTCTGTGCTTTGATTGCTCAACGCAACCAGTGTCCACTAATTATATATAATTAACCAGCAAATTGAGATCAATCTTTTCATTAAACGAGTCAAGTGTTTGTGTTTTTAGAGAACCACGCCTTGTGATGTCACAAGTGTCAACATTCAAAACACAATATATAAATGTGTATAAATATAATTCTATTAATATCAAATAAATCAATCGTTACTATTTGATGTAGTTTGTTCATTTCAAATGGAAAATTTACTTCACTTATTCAGGTTTTTGACTTTCGTGTTTGAGACAAAGAAAAGCAAGGGAGAAGTTTAAAAATTCTGGAAAAATGTCAAACATATACGTAATGGATCAAAACTGTTTTGTCAATAAATATCAGAAATTTATTTTTTATATTAGCATCTAATTAGATTATCGGAGCGTTCTAATTATTAAACATTTATATAAATGAAGTTGAAAAACATTCTGACCGCAAAAGAAAGATGTCATGTATAATTTTGACTTTTTTATCATGCTTTGTCATAAGAGACCGTTTTATTAAGCGACCATTTATGGCGTTTCCCTTGCGTGGACGCTTTACACGTTTGACTGTATGTATATTAAAACATGATTTAAATACATGTTTTGTTCATATAAAAGTTCACCTCAAAATTGGAGTAATTGACAACCAACAACATAAATCTTTATATATCTAATATTTATAGTTTTATATAGTAACACAACTACTAGAAATATCACTGCAAATCAAAGGTTTATGCTCCATTCCAATATACATGCTGGGACTTAAAAAAAGAAATACATCAACTGCAAATATAGAGGGTCATGCAGATTTAAAAGAACTGTTCAATGGGAAAAAAAATCAAAGAAAAAAAAACTTAACAGTCGGAATTAAGGCCTGCTTCTGAAAGTTGAAACATGATGAAAAAATGAAAAAGATAATAAGCAACACCAACATAATAAAATGCAAAAGACAATTACCAAATTTAAAAAGCATTTTAATAAGTTCAGAATTTAAAGAAAACAATATAATGCCCTGTGTTAAATAATGCAACGAACAGAGATTATTTATTTAATAGAAGGATATTCTTTTAAACTTCAGGATAAAATATTTCATACAAAAGAACATATGGACTGTACTGTTGAAAATGTTTTATATGTTTTAGTTTGCAACGGCTGCAAAGAATTTTACATAGGCCAAACAGGCGACAAACTCAGAAACAGAAAAACTGTTCATGCTCAGCAGATCAGAGACCCATCAACAAGACAATTACCTTTAAGTGAACATTTAGAAAAATGCTCTAAAAAAGACCCGAACTTTTGTATTTTCCCATTAGATTATAAATTTCACAGTAAAAACGTTTCAGCTACTAGGTTATCTAAAGAACGCTATTTTATTGATGTTTTTAATCCAAAACTTAATACTATATTATGACGTTACTATTTTTAGATTATGCGTACATATGTGTACACAAAAACGTCGTCGTTAATATACGACGACGTCACATTTGCACTGATGATCATAAGAGAAACCGGTTGGCAAATAATTAAATAAGTTAACTCATGAACTGTGTTTTTTTATATATATTAAAACGTGATAAATGTTCCTTGTGCAGTGTTGAAAATGTTTAAGTATTATATACATATAAACAGAGCAAATTTATTGTATATACCTATAATATATATATATATATATATATATATATATATATATATATATATATATATATAAAGTGGACAAAACACAAAATTACAAGGGGACACTGTGATCAATGCAATAACAATCAAGTTTTCTGTATCTTGTGTTGAAATTTTGTTTGATATTTTCTAAAAAGTATTTTATACATAAGAAAGGAAATGTTGAACTGATGCGATGTTGAGTTATACTGTTACTTGTCAATTATTTGTACATTTCACACAATCAATTTTAAATCAATCAAAATTGTTTCCACAATTTTGATCACATAAACATCTAAGTTTAACTTTTCATTATCTCGATCACAATTTATGTCCTTCTCAGCATCATTGAAGATCTCCTTAATGTCACTACTTTTCCACCTTCAAACATAGGCCTATCATGCGTGTGTGCACAAAGCCCAATTTCTGCCCCAGCAACTTCACAAATTGAACCTGGTTGGACATATAATCCATTCAAATTACTGACTGTACAGTATGATGAGCGATACCATCAGCCTGCGTGTCGATCAACAGCACAATTACGTGAGTCTTCATTATCTAGGTCACGGTAAGAATAAACAAAGGGCAATAACAAAATAAGGCAAGGCAGATATATGGTTCTTTAGCACTGCACTCCTACCCAATGAGACCTATCTACCTACAAAGTTTCATGTTGATATCTCTTATAATTTTAGAAATATGTCCCGGACAAAGTTCAAAGTGTCAAAATAAACAAATGGCAATTACTCCAAAATTAGACAAGGCTGTGTTTAGGTTCTTTAGCATTGCAGCTTTTTACAATGAGATCTATATATCTACCTACAAAGTTTCATGTTTATATCTCTAATGGTTTTAGAGTTATGTCCCGGACAAAAATTCAAAAAGTCAAAATAAACAAAGGACAATAACTTCAAAAGAAGGCAAGGTAGAGTTACGGTTATTGTGCACGGCAAACCTACTCAATGAGATCTATCTACCTACAAAGTTTCATGATGATACCTCCTATACTTTTAGAGTTATGTCCCGGACACAGTTCAAAGTGTAAAAATAAACAAAGGGCAATAATTCAAAACTTAGGCAAGGCAGAGTTACGGCGGTTCTTGTGCACTGCACACCTACTCAATGAGATCTATCTACCTACAAAGTTTCATGTTGATACCTCTTATTGTTTTAGAGTTATGTCCCGGACAGAGTTCAAAGTGTAAAAATAAACAAAGGGCAATAATTCAAAAATTAGGCAAGGTAGAGTTACGGAGTTACGGCGGTTCTTGTGAACTGCACACCTACTCAATGAGATCTATCTACCTACAAAGTTTCATGTTGATATCTCTTATAGTTTTAGAGTTATGTCCCGGGCAAGAAAATCGGACGGACGGACAAAGCGGCGACTTTATCCTCTACCTTCGGGGAGCATAAAAACAGCAACAGCATAAAAAAAACAACAAAAAAAACAGCACATTCTCGAGCAAACCGTTAACACACTATTTGATTCCGTTGCGGATTCAATTTTCTACAAGTTTGGACGGTCTTCTTTGCACAATATGAGGACCAAAGCCCTAACCCAATCAATATGTCCGGGAGAATACCGAGTGGAATGATCTTTTTGGACCGGCGATTTATTCTGACTGTACGAAGTATGATCAAAAAGTTATCGGCCCGATATACCTCTAGCCACTACACTGACATTTACACACGATACGTAGATACTGATATCTTATTAAAGATTACTGACCGAGTTACACGCGGTTTTACACAGATTAAGTAACATAAAACACACTTTGATCAGAAGAGGGGTGTGTCATTTAGACCAAATGGAGAAAGTAAATTGAAATTAGAGCCGTCATTAAGTACCT